CTGTTTTTGATATCAAGACTTCTTGTCCATTTGAATAAATTCTGTAGACTGGTACTAAGCCCAATCTACTGCTTAATGAGACTGCAAACGGTTGTTTTAAATTTGTATAATTTGCTGCTTCAATAGTGAGTGTCAAATTATTCCTTGGAGCATCCCAAAAGATATTTACATTTGAACAATCGTAGAATGGTGTGTCAAAAATATTAAGGAAAGTATTGTTACATCTGTCATCTGTGGATAAACTACCACTACATGGGAATTCGGGGCCATTCGTACCATAGTTTGCTTCACACTTGGGTTCGTCGGATTCAAGATCGTCTCCAACAACAACATTTGCAAGAGCAAGAGACAAAACTAGAATGATGATTTGAAGCATGTTTTAATGTTAGAGATTAGAAAGTGCTTTTTTTATCAAATGCTTCAAATGCTTTTTATATAGGTTTTCAAAAAAAAAAAGAATAAATTAAAAAGGCTTTAGATATAATCTTCAATGATTGGAATCAAAATTTGATGCTAGTGAGTATACTGGACTTGCAACTCCTGTAGACCGTAAGTGATGAAAAAGAGAAAAAATTAAAAAAGGCTTTAGTTATAATCTTAAATGATTGATATCAAAGTTTGATTCTAATGAGCGTATTGGACTTTCGAGCCATGCAGAGTATAGATGACTCTCTGGAATCGAGTTTCAAAACGTTTAGATTGGATACAACGGCATATACTTTGTTCTCCTCTCCATATCTTTCTGAATAGGTCGAGATTTTTCAAAAGAATCGATTTACTTTTCACTAACGATATGATGAAGTACGAATATGCAATAAAGTATCATCTGAAAAAATCAAGACTTGAGGGTGTGGATGTGCGTGTGGGTGTGGCTGTGGCTATGAAGAGAACACTCACGCTACACCCACACCCACACCCTTTGATTCATATCGCACACTTGGGTATGACCTTGACATTTTCAATTTTTTCTTCTCTGTCGGCAAACAAAACGATTTTCGACTGACTGAACGTGTCTGGAACAATTTTCGCTTCTCGGTATTCATTCAAAAGTGTTGGCACACTGGTTGCTTGGACTTGGAAAGTAGTTCTCTAACATACATTGTTCACGGCAACACCATGCATGATTTCGATGAGTGCTCACTTTTGCGTTCAATATTTCAGCAGCACAGCTTGCTCTTATTTATAACAATAATTTTCCGTATTGTTGCACGGCTGTGATGGTGCAAGCGTGTTTTTTCCAGTTTCTCAACACAATATAAAAGAATTCGATACAACTTTGTCCTGTTCCTCTAGGCTCAATGCCCTAGACAAGAAAGAAACAGTTGAAGCATGAATTATTCAGAGTTCACGTGCAACTTTAGACTTTATTTTAAAGAGAAACATGATATTTCAGAGCACTTCTTGTTTGTTCAACCTAGTAAAAGTCTGACGAACTCAACCTATTCAACGCAATTTTTACGAAAGATAGCTTGTAATATAGTCGAAACCAAAGTATGGCGTCCGAGAGTGTGGATGTGCAATGTGAATATGGGTGTAGGCCTTCCATTGATCTATACGCACACTCACACCCTGTTTTGTAGACATAATGGTACCCAGTGATTATCCAAGTTTGTTTTATAACAGTTAGTTGTCAACTCAAGTTTATTAGACGATGGAAAGTAGTCAGATTACACGCGAAAATGAAAAGTTAGGAAAATGTGTAAAAGCGACAGGAAGTTTCAATTATTTAGATAGGTCACGATAATGCAAATAACTATTTGCAAAATGTTGCAATATTTATTGGCACATCCAACTATAGTTGCTGCAGAAATCGAGGTAGAATATGCCATTATAGATGATCCTATTGTTGTCGCTAGAATTGCAAACACGAAAAAATCAAATAATCAGATTTATAGCATAGCTAGAGCGTTTCCGAAAGCAAATTCGTATTTAAATTCAGTCCGAAAGAATCCAACTGTTTTATTCTTCTTGAAGAGTTCTACCTATAGGATTTTGGTGTCTCTGAAACAGATAATTTTAGCAAACAATTAACAACAATAATATTGATTTTTCCTTCCATATTCTACGATACTTAGATGGTGGATCAACTGCATAAATTTTTCTGAGAGCTTCTGTCAAGTATTTTTTTTTTTGTAAAAATTTCGTACTTGTTTGTATAGTTAGTCCAGCCGTCGCCAGAGTACTTGATGTTGTACCTAAGACAAAACAATACGCAAATCATCTGAATTTTCAGAATAAAGAGTATTTCGCAGTACTTGACGTTATACTAGTCGATAAAATGCTAGTCGAAGTGGTTGTTCTTGTCGTTGTACTTGTCGTATTCGATATTAGAACGATAAATATTTCACTACACAAAAATGGTTAAAACTTCTGTTGCATGTCAATCTAATTAAAAACGATTTATCGTTTGTTACACATTCATGAACGCTTTTTTGGGTTTGCAAAATCCGGAATTTTTTATAGTGTTAGAAATCAAGGAAATAAAGATCCTGAGATATATCGATGGGTGACGAAACTCTGCACGATTTTTATCTGGTGATATAGAGTCGTGTGTTCCTCAATAACAAATGTTTGCGCTCATCGAAAAAGTCGTATGTATCTGCATAGATTCTGGAAGAAATTAGTAAAACAAATGCTTGTGGAGCTGGTGTTCTCAACATTGAAACAATGAACAATAGAAACTAGTGGCAAAACCTCCCCAAAAGAACAGATGTTAGAGAAAGGTGAGCTTCTTCTGTAAGTTGTTCAGGTCTACTTCTCTGAGAAATTTCTCAGTGAGGAAAAATGGTACTTTTTGATTGGAATCTGACGAATTAGAGAACTCACCTTCTCTGTAATATTATCTAGTAACTCTGCTAGTAAAAAAAATATATCGGAGTCTGTCATTTGTTTCCACTTCAATCAAAAATGATTGAACGGACCAAAATTTTTCATGCAAACCATTTATTGAAGTTGAATTGTTTATACTATTTCAAATTTGTATATATTATTGATGGCACAAGGATTCTTATGTGTTCACGAAATAAGTCTTATACTTGTCCCTGTTACATTCGACGGTAGCTGCCCTAAACATTTTTTGAAACGCAATAGTTAATGGATATTGAAACGAATGGCAACAAATGTAAAGTTTAGTCTCTTTTTTTTAGTCTATCCTATAGACCACGACAGACGTGAATAGGTTTCTCTATTATGATTAAAGTGGCTCTATCGTGTTGTACAATAAAATTTTCGAAGTGATTGAACTGAAATCTTTGTTATTTTTCCGAATTAAGTCTAGAATAAGTCGAGCGATTGATGTGCTTCTCACAGTTAGAGTAAACATAGAAATCAATCTCAATCGCTAATATTTGTCTTTTGAACAGATTGCAGAAACTCCGTTAACGAATACATTGCTCCTCTTTAGAATGGATAAGACATTAAAATCTTCGCGTTTTTTCTTCTAATTGTATTTGAATTCTTTGTTTTAGCACTATTCATACACATTAAAAAGTAAATAGCATGAAGAAATAGATCAGCTCGATTATGTTTCATATTTCCATCCAGCAGCAATTGTACTAAAAGCTATTGTAATCATCTGCTAAGTTTTCTAAAAAATATGCAAGAAATTTGAGAGGAATAGAGAAATGCAGAAGAGTTTTTTTCCAAAACAGAGTATTACGATAAGAATCTTTTTCGTTTGTAATGATGAATCATTACGTTGTTTGGTACTTTTGCGCCAGGTATTATGATCAAGTTTTTGCTCTAGCACTTCTATCTTCGTTCTAGTGCTTCTTCTCATCAATGAAGCTTTTACAAATCGAGCAAGCAGTTAACGTAGAGGATTGTTTATAGATCTTTTCGAATCCTACAGTTTTTATCAACAGACTATCGATGTAAACGCTAACGATCACTTGACAGTTTTCTTAAACAATCGTGATAGAATAAATCTTGTATCTTTTCATGTGATCGTTTCCATTTCTAGATGCCAGTATATTATCTCAAATCCAATATACTAAAACGTTCGATTGTCCAAGCATTACAAACCCTGAAAGTTTCACGTTTCAAGCAGACACTTTTGCATAAACTAGTACAAACCTGATGAAAATACCAAGGAAATATACTGTCCTTGCCCAGTTTCTAGTAACAAAATTTGGACTATTTTTGGACGTGACTATGGAGTGTGACTATTTTAAGTGAATGGAAGACACTGATACAGAACCATGCCTACACTCACAGTAGCAGCACGTGCGCTTATCCACACCGACATCCGTATTAACCACGTCCACATTGTATTTTTAGCTACTGTCGCCAACTTCTCAATTTGCTTACATCGCTACCAGCATGCATCCGAATAAAGTAAAATATTTGACGAAGACATAATCAAATGTTTTTATGCAATAGAAAGTCATCATCAGTTACATATCGAGAGACATTCAGATCTTACGTATGAAGTGATAACTCACGACACAATAGTAGCCATACAAAAACTAAGCCATCTAGAATTCGGACGGAAACTACCAACAGCCTAAGCTTTCCACTCACAAATGGAGCCGCACATGTACGTCCGAATGGATATGAAAGAAATTTTGAATTTTAGTGTGAGCCTTAAAGTGTAAGATATTTTGAAATACTTACAAATGTGTATGTAACGCAATAAAATTATACATTTTCTCGCTACTTGTTCTTGTATTTATTTCAATATTTTGATAAGGAAATATTTAATCAAAACTTATATAGTTTTACCTAGTTATTTAGGTTTCTCTTTTTGTTGACATGAGCATCAAGGATTATTTTGTAGATGTATTGTGTTCCGACATTTCTCAGTGAATCCTAATTCCTGAAACATGAAGGAAAGACAGCTAGAGACGCCGCTTTCTCAAGTATTTTTCGACATAAACTACTGGTTGACATCTACTCAAATCTACTATTTAACCTGGTCACTTTTCAAACGACCAAACGAACTATCACCGACGAGCGTAATTGAGAGTTCATTGATGATTGGGATGGCTTACTCAATGAAATCACCAATCTTTCAAATTTCCAATGATTAATGAAATACACGTATCATGATAATTATACTGTTTCCTATCTTGAAAGACACAAGTTACAAGTTTTGGAATGAACATCATACCTAATCGAAGATATGCCCTTCGATCATCATTGCTACCTAAAACACCATCATTTCCGGCTAACCACAATTTCAAACGATCTCCAAATTGGTTTATGTATGTGTCATATGTATTATTTCGAACAAGTTGCATTATACCCGATTGACTACTACCGCCACAACCAAATAATTCCCATGTAATCACTGGAATACTCTGATTATTCCATATATTATTCAGCTGATAGTTGAATAAATTATTCATTGATGTATTACACCAATCAGTAAAAAGTAATATTACTATTGGACGTATACAGATCCATGATGAAATATATTCAATTTCTCTCATAGCCCAACCTTGATTCCCGTAATAAATTGCTGGCAATTTAGTACTGACCGTTCTACAAACATCCATCATTGGAGCAATTAAGAATATCGACAATAGTATTTTATTCAAATTCATAATCGATTTCTTAATCTATAAAGTTAGAAAACAAAATCCTTTTTATATTTTAAGCCAATGAGGTACTGATGTAAAACTCGATGAGTTGGTTTAAATGAAAAACCAACTTTTCAAATGGTCTCATTGAGTGCGAATACTATACTTTACAACTGTTGGGTATAGTGGGCACAATAATTTCTAATATTTTCTATGAAAGTTGACCTAAGAGTTATCGTAGGTGGACGATCTGAATCTAAAATCAAATTTCGAGTCGTTTAATATTTTATTATGAATTGTTAATTATTTTACAAAATTTTCCAAATAAAATCTGACATTGGATGTGTATTCTAAGTTACACTGTATATAGAAGTCACGGTGCTTCTGATCTTTCTGCCTTAGCACAGCGAGCAATAACGTGAACATTACGTGAATAAATAAGAGTGAAATTTTTCGAGATTCGAATAGCAACCTACACACTTTAATTAACGACCAGTGTTTTTGGTAAGAAAAACTCTGTTTCAACGGCTAAATTCATTGAAAAACTAAGTCGCAAAAGAGGTCAAATTCTAGTACCGTTAGAGAATAATTAGAGAAAGACATTACTTTTTTTGCGCATAGTAAAAAGAGCTGAACAATAAATCATATTTCTTCTGAAATGAAAACTTCTGCTCTATCAATTTATAGAAAAATTGTTTTCGTCTTTTCACCTTTTCTTCAGACGAAATAACTATTCTTTTTACGCTAAGCGTTTGTTTTGTATATCTAAGACGTACGCTTAGTTAGTGCAAAGGAGTGGAAATGCTTCTGGACTGAGATGCAGATTTTGTAAAAAGAAAACTTGCCTTCTTAAGTTTTTCTGTGTTTTCTTTATTACAGAAGCGCTTTGAGACAAAAACAAGGACATATTTGGGATTAACACGGAAAATTTCATCGAATGATGTGTCCGTCAACCATTTTTGGATGACACGACGATTCAATAAAATTTACAGACTCTGAGCACATATCTCTTCTTTTTTTGAGTATCGTTTCTATTTTGTCCCCAATTATGTGAAACTGCGGGGTTACAATATACCTAAAACTATGTTTATGATTATGGTCTGGTTACCGTCGTTTTTGTAAGACTGAACTTCAATAAATCCGTTTAAAATGTTCTCAAAAAAACCTGTCTATTGTTATATTCGAAATCAGCGTACTCAAAACGCTCTAAGAAACTATTTTTGAATCAAAACTACGTATTTTGAAAGTCATTTTTGTCTCTGGGAAACAAAGTTTTTTAAAAAGAAATATCTTTCAAGTACCTCAGAGCTCTCGACGCCACTCCATATGAAAGAGTGAATGCGGAAACCTGTGCAAAAAGTAGCTTTTTAGTGTATTGGACTGCCTTAATACCAACTATTTATGCGCTTATCAAAAATTGCCTTCTATCACTCGGACTCACATCAGTGCGATGCCCAATGTATCCTATAGAATATAGATATATGGAAAGATAGAAAAAAAACAACGCTCTATTTTGTGCAAATTACGTATATTTTTGAAGGAAATAGTGAGTACAAGTTTTAAGTCGAAGTTTTTCAGCCCTCTCCCGTCCTCATTACAGCCTTTTACAATCTAGGACACCCAGCATCTGACTTCTTTACTAGAGTTTCTTAGCAACAGAAAAAGACGATGAACGACTTTAACATTAACGGCATGACTTAGACTATTGTAGAAAATTCTGGAATATTGCAAAGCCTTAGCCGAAAATTGAATGGCTAGAATACGTTTGTGAACGTTTTAAATAGTGCAGCTTTTGATTTTTGCGGAGATAAAAATTTATATTCAAGATGTCAACAATGATGGGTAGGCGTGGGTTGACTTGCTACGATTGTTATATAATAAACATCAAAAGCGTGATTTGATCGAGATATATAATAGTGTGTTAAGATCTGCTGCTGTAAATTTAACGAATATTTTACAACAGCCTTATTTGCCATTTAATTCAATGTTTATAATAATAACAATGTTAAATAGAACACGAAATATGAAAAAGAAAAATAACGAACGAATAGCAACGATTCAAACAAAAGTGCGGATACCCGTAAAGAAAGAAAAAACTTCTGTTCGAAATGCAGAAGTGAATGAGACAGATTCTTACTGTGGTGATCGATTATCTTGGAAAACAACTATAGTCTACAAGGGATTTTCAATTTACGCATTTTGTACTAGTTTAATGAGAGTAAGAAACCTATGTGAATTTCACATTTCAGCCTCAAAGAGATTGTGCTAACAAGCTTTTTCAGCGATATTTCAACGTTTTTCAGCTAGTATCATAATAATAAAATTTTGATAAGGGCTGTTTTTGTTTGTTTTCTTTCTTTTTTTTTTGTAATCTCTTCTAAAGACTAGCTGCTTGTATACACCAGGATATACAAGAAAAAGTAGTGGTGACAGCACAAAAAAGAAATACAGAAAGATATTCATCATCTTTCATTTGATCAAATTTTCGAATAACTCTTGCTTGAATATTAAGTGCAGAATACACTTTAATGAAGAAGCAGAAATTTTTCTTATCTATCGGAAACAGGTGAATAGTGTTAAGGTTTAATCTAACTTTATCTCTTTAATTTTCTTGAAAAGAAACTAATAAACTACAGATGTATGCAAGATAAACGGAACATATGTATAGACGACTAGACTTTAGAGCAGACGAGAAAGAAAAGACACAAGAGGATCAATAACATGATTTACATGTAGATAATAATACCTGAACAGACAAGAACTTCTGAAGACGTATTTAAACATTGTAATTGTAGCTTCCGTTTCCGCGTTTACACGTCCATTCAGAAAACATCAAAACCGGCTACTTTCATAATAAAAGATGCATGAAGATACTTAAAAAGATAACTTTTATGTGTGAAAAACGTCCAAAAAGTTTTCCCACAAAATTTTTGGCATACGCCATGCATAAAAAAGTCGTTTTTATCTAAAAAAACTTGCCTTGTTAAGCGTCTTCACAAATCTTTTATGGTGAAAATAGTTGGTTGTATTGTTGTCTGAGCAGACGTGAAAAAGTTCAAACTATGACTGTTACAAATACTCAGTCAAAAATGACCTTAAATCCGAATATCCTTTCTAGTTAGTAGATACCTTTTCTATCAACGTCGCAATACTTTTCGTCTATGCAATGCTTGCATCGAATGCAGTATTTGTTTTTGTTCTTGAAATCATTCAAAAACAAGCAACAATGCAAATGTTGGCTTCATGCATTTTAGGACAGTAGAAAACTTTGAAGTTCATGAAGCCACTTATACACATATACTCTCTCGTGCATAGTTCAGATTCAATTTATTTTGATTTTTCTCATCGAATATTCACCTGTTGTTTTTTTGGATTCTATGATTCGAACGAAAGTAAACCATTACTCTTTTTATTTCGTCATCGTGCAGCAGCTTGCAACCATAGTCGACCGAATAAAATTGAATAGGAAAGAATTCAATGACACATAATTTTTTGTCATTTGAAAATCTTATTAGAGAGAGAGTGAGAGAAATCAGTTTCCATGATCATGATTTTGATCTTGCTAGACTTGTCACTTTGTTTATTTAGGTGTAGCATCGATTGATGATCCAGCACTCGAATGTACTGTAGACGTGGGCATGCGGTGTGGTTGGAATAGAGATCTTGCCCTCATTCACACCGAAAATAAACAGCTACATAGCAACGCACCAGAGATAACGCATGCCTACACCTCCGATAGCCAGAAACACTACCAACACACTGTGTGTGATGCGGGTGTGGGGTGTGGGTGGGTGTGGGTATGAATGAAGGGAAGACTAACACCCACATCCACACAGCCACACCCACAGTCACAACCACACCCTCCCACAGCCACAACCACACCCACAATCCGACAACTTTTATTTCCATCGAAAAAAATCAGCTGGGGTCCTGCTCAGAGATGGGTCGAAAAATTAATTGAGTCTAAACAGAATTTTATCCGTATAGATATATATTCTTTTAAGGGTTATAATAATATATTAAATGTCGAGAACTTGTTTCTTACAGATAAAATTGGGTTTCGACTGAATTTATTTTTCGACCCGTCCTTGAGGGGGCCCCAGCTGAATTTTTCGACGAAAATAAAAGTTGTCGGATTGTTTTGAAGCATACATAGACCGACTCAGTTTTTAATGCTGAACATGAATCTAACGTTGGATTTTTTCTTTTAAATAGAATTCGAAGGCGAATACTTGAAATACTGATGACTTTTAGGCAAAATCGGCACTCCAATGGCAATCTGCGTCTCCAGCAGGTGTCTTCCCAAAAATGTTTTTCAATTGTAATAAGTAAATTTTGTAGGTAATACAAAAAGCCCTTTATGATAAAAAAATGGTGATGTTTGCTCCTGCCGTTGAAGAACAAGAATATCTACCATGGTCGCTTCTGATAGTCTTAATACGGTTTTTCAAGACCTTTCAGAATCACATTTCCACTATAAAGTCAGAAGGCCTGAAGCGAAAGCCTTGATACTTTTAGTGGTGTTAGAGGGCCATATAGCCTACTAAATGATGTAAAGAAAATCTTTTTTTTCTTCTTGTTAGTATACGGATAGGTGAACTATGTCATATCGATCATAAAAGCCATTTAGGCCCAAAGACGTCAAATATTGATCATGCTGAAACTTTTTATTCACTCGTGAAAGAAAAGTTGGTGCCGTCACTAAAAATGTTCATCTCAATGAGATTATTCATTTGATATAAGATAGTATGGGTTTCCTTAAAAAAATTCCTATGGGCCGATTTATGACCAAATGCGCCCTTGTCCTTTTTCGCCTGTGTGATGCTTACAAGAACAAGGTTGAATATTTTGGTGAGAAATATTTATTTATTTTTTGATCATCAATTATTAACATAATAAGAATACGAAGACAAAAAAAAATAATATCTGTCAATTTCACACAAATATGCTACGACTCATGTAAGAAATTGTTCAATCAA